CAGCAGGAAACCCAACTATTGGACTAGATAGACTTACCCAGCCTGTATGGTGTATTTTGCCCTTGGAAATTATTCTAAATTAGAGCCAGTGCCTGTTTCAGTGCTTGCCATTTGTCATAAGAATTGGTCTGTTGCTGCGCCATTACTCTGTGGACATTATTTATTACCTTTCATTTGTCTAGGAAACATGCTGTTTGTGAGAAATTACTCACCGGTGTAGGGGCTTAATCTTTCAGAAGTTCAGGTACCCTAAAAAAGTTAGTTACCCTTTCATTTGCTGGGAGGGGGAACAGGACTAAGAAGTGTATGTTAATGAGTTGCAGCAACTAGACGCAGATTAAGTAGATTTTCAGTGTTACTTTAAAAAGCTGACGGCTGGTTTCTAAATATGTAAAAGGTATTAGTACTTTTTGTCTGAGTAGTGTTTAGAAGATGTAGCTGGATTGTTTTGAGCTTATCTGCTGTTTGTTCTTTTTTTCTTTTTGTAAGCTCCTGATATTTTATCACATAGAGTTCATCTCCTTAGAAATCTGTTGCATTGCAACCACTGCAAACTTCTCCCAAAGCCCCCAAGCTCCCTATTAAGCATTGGCTTTGTTTAGGCTGTATAAAAGGTTATTTTTTCATTACCTACATATTTTCAGCCATCTCTGGGTTTACTGTGTTGTTGGAAGCAATGCAATAATCTAATGAGATGATCTGTTTGAGCAGCTGGTTTTAACCTCTTTGACATTTCTTGTTTGGGATATGAGCCTCTGCTGGCACTTTAGTACATGCTGTAGATTTTTTTTTTTTTTAACTTTTGGTTTTCTGTTCACACTGTCTCTGTTTTTTTCCTTCCTTTGGGTCAGAGCTAGCAAGGAGGGATCATAACTGAACTGCCATATCATAGATTCTTTGTGTTGAATGTGAGTTTTTCTCTTATTTTCTGACATCTCGTTTTCACAACTGGGAGAGTGCCTGGGGTTGAAGCCGAAGAGGAGGAAAACCTCTCATTTCCCCCTTGAGAATGAAAGCCTGTTTGGCATCATTGGTTCAAGGTTACTTGTAGTTCTGCTTCTCCAGCATTTGTGTTCCTTTTCTCTGGCACTCCTGAGATACTTGATACCTTAGAGATACTTTAAAGATATCAGAGAAGTTCAGTTCAGCTCTTAATGGAACGGAGGCGGTTGCCTACACACACCAGATCACAGTGCTCATTTGTTGTTACCTGTAAGAAACAAGCAGAAATACACAGGAGACCATTATCATCAGAAACTTTATTCAGGTTACATCCATGGAGTCTTCTGGATCACCTACAGACGTCTGCAACCTACAGACGTCCTGCAAGATTCACTCGTATTCATTGCTCATGCAACTCTTCAAGTTCTTCAGATGTAATTTGGGGAGGATTGAAGATGATGCAACATGTGTTGCAGTGTATAAGTGCAAAATGTCATGATAAGCAATAGCTCTCACAAAGAAAAAGTGAGTTTAATAGGCTATTGCATTTTTTACAATAACTATTTTTTCTGATGTGTAAGGATGGGTATACTATGATCTGTAATACGGAGTCAGGCACTTTAGGATTTTTCTCTTATTTTTTGGTAAGTATTGAAAAGCTTGAGGCTTCAATGGAACTGAATGCTCTCTTCAGGCTGCTCAAGCAAGTTGCAAACACTGGGTACTAAATCTACATTCTGAATAAAAATTGCCTTCTATTGTAATTCAAAGCAAAAGGAATAAAATAATTTTTTTTTTTGCCAGTATTTGAGCATATTATATCCTGACGACAAAACAATCAGATCCGTTGGAGCCATTTTTTCTTTTTGTGTGTTTGCCAGCAGTTCAAGAGGGGAGAGAAAGGAGGAGGAAATGAAAATAAAAAAGAAAAGTTGACCTTAATAACTTTGACAGATATTTAGAACTTCTCACTATGGGACAAGTAAGATTTCCTTCTTCTCTATGCTTCATCCCACCCGTAATTTTGCAGTGGCTTGTGGATGCACGGTACAATGTAAGTAGCTTTATAAGATGTTCAGCTATATCTGAGTAGGAGGCAGTTTTTGCTGTATCTGCCCTGCATGTACCTCAGACAACACTGGCAAGGAATATTTTTTTTATTGTAAAGGCAAAACCTTGTCTTACAGAAGTGGCAAGGACTTAGCACCTTCTCAAGAGGGTAACTTTAATGCTGCTGCTACTCTGCTCTGCAGTGTACATAGGGAGGATTTTAATTTCTAGAACATCCTATCTTGTACAGCAAATTCACTTTAAGAATTACACTTTCTTCCCATATGCCCCTTCCAAAAAATGAGGAAGGGATTGGAGGCAAAGGGATCCTCAGTATCCCAAAGCCCGTGGCTCTGATGTGGTTCTGTTGTCCTGTCGCAGCAGGACTCCCATTGCAGCGGGATTTCCCCACTGCTTTCTCCCCCTGCTCTACGTACCTACAGCAGGGAAAAGGAACGTGGGAGGACCAGATGCAGCTGCTTGACACAACGTTGTGCCTGGCATGGGACAAACTGCCATCTATCTCGGTGTGCAGTTTGTCCTCTGTGGAAGAGGGCTGACTCTCGTTCCACGTTGTGCTGTAAGGACACATTGATCAATGTTTCTGAAGTGTTCAGAGCTGTGGCAGTGGGGCTTGTGCAGGTATGAAGTGACTACCTTTCTGTTCTGTAGGGACTGCTGTAATTTTTGTAGTAGACACACTGTGATTCAGAAGTGAAAGCAAGATAGTAACAAATCCTCTAAATAAGATTTATGATTTAATAATTTTGTTGCTAATAGTTGGACTAATCCTGCTGTGCCTTCATGAAGATTTTTTTTTTTCCTCTGTTCACTTTCATAGCCTGGGAGAAAGATTTAATTTTAGAAGTTTCAGTTGACAAAGCCATGCTGGTGCTAGATATGTATTTCAGATCCTTGTCATTGTGCCCTATTTTTAAATTCAAGTGCCAACCAACCTAAAGAGCACAGCCTGTGTCTATGCTGGGTGCTCTGCATCCAGGCTACAAAGCTGAATTTTTTCAAGCCTTAGCACCAGGCCACCAAATTTGCTTTTATATTTTTCCTGTTTAATGATCAGAAATACTCTAGCAAGTTCTTTTCATTATCACAGAACTAAAACAGATCATAAAAACAACCCTTTTCCCTCCAGAGGTCTGCGCAGGCATTGGCAATTGTTAAGATGCTTGCCTATCAACAGCCACTCGAGAAAGAATTTTAAATGGCTTTGTGACGTCAAGGAGGCCCAAGAAAATATAGTCTGGTGCCAAATTACCTCCATCATTGAAAGCACGCAGTAAGAAATAGATAACACAGAAATAAATCTTTTGTGCAGTAGCTATCTCATGATATGCTCTAGCGACTCCAATAAATTGAGGTTGTCTGGTGTAAGAATAGCTAAAGAAGATGAACATTCAGACCCTGATTTTTCTAATTTATTATTAATGAAAAGCCAACCTAATCTATCTGACATCCTGCTGTCTGGACAGAATGTCTGCGGGTAGCTTGGACCTTGCAGAGGGAAATGCCCCGACCAAGTTACAGCCTACAAAAGTGAACCATTTAAGTATGATGGACAAAAAACTGAGTCTCTTGAATGAAAAGGTGGACAAACTGTTGCATTTCCAAGAAGATCTGACAGGCAAACTTCAGCGAGTTAACAAAGGCATTGATGATGTAGAAAAAGGCATTAACAAGCTAACAATATCCCGAGCAGCTCCTGATGAGACAGATGCAATGAAAAAAGGGCTAAAGGTACCGGACAGTACTCACCAGACTGATATCCAGAGCATCTGCTCAGAAGTGTTGAAATTGATGAAAGCGGCCCAGCTAGATGCCTTGAAGCATAAGGAGAGGCTGACAAAGATAGAGAAAAGGGTTGATACACTGGATAAAGTTATTACATTTGTGGGAGAAGTATTAAAAAATTCTAAAGTAGTGGACTTCATTCTTAAAGGCATTGTGCCCTGGAAGAAGGGGAGTCTGCTGGAAATCCTTGTTGAGGTTGGTTTTGTTTTACTCTCTTCATGTTTTTATTTATGATGTAGTACAGCTTTAGGCTCTCCTGCTGATTTTTTGCATAACGTGTAATTCAGGTTTTCCTTTCAGTATTGCTGAAATACTGCTATGACCTTGGAGTTGTGAGGCTCAAAACAGTCTCATGTCTGAGGTTCCCAAAGTGTGCCATGCAATCCGGTAACACGTATGAGGAGCAGATTGCTAATGGAAAGGAAAATTCCGCTTCTACCAGTGCTTGAAGATCAGCAATGTCGTTCAAATTAGTGACTGACTGAGGCGGCAATGGAAAGTATGGCTAGCATACTGGAAGCATTTTTTGTTGGAAGAAGCTTTTATTTTGCCAGTTACTAAAACCTGTGCTGACTTATGGCCATATTACTGAGCAGATTTATGTGTCCTTAGACATCTAAGTTGTCTTTAGCTACATCTTTATGATGAAGCTGTAACTTTATCAACTCCATCAACCTTGTTCACTCCTCAAATCAAATAGTTCTTGTGTTTGCAAGTTCCTAGACATCATTGCTAAGCATTTCTTAATTATTGAGGACAGTGAGGCAGGAACAGGCAAGTCTGGCATGTAGTTGATAAGGTCTTTTGGAATCAATTAACCTTGTTTTTAAAAGTTACAGACATCTGGAATTGGTTTCAGCTAATGGGAGTTCTCAGTTTTCACTATGGCTTGTATCCCACAGTGGGGAAGAAAGGGGGAAAAAAATGCAAGAGTTGAAATGGGTTTGTTCATTCCAAGAATTTCTTTGTATGTAGAGGTGTGATTACAGTAAGGAGAACTTAGCTCAAATACAAATGTCAGTTTGTATCTTAATCCAAATAGTTTTCAGCAAAACTGTAAAATGTTTTGGTGGAAGGTACACCTAAACTTTTACAAGAACAGGGCAATGCTAGATGCTAGGATACCTTTTCAGATTTTCTGAATGTTCTCCTGGTCTCCCTTTTTAAGTGCCAAAGGCTGACAAGTGAGTTAGATGTATAGAGTTTCCATTAGTGTTGAGAACCATCAATCATACATTAGGTATCAATCTTAATTCTGGATAGGGATGAAGCTTGTACTTGCTTGCAGTTCTACAGATTTTTGGAGAAATTGAGAAATTTGATATGTTTTGGTTAAAGCTGCGCTGTTCCAAGTTACCGCCTGCAGTCCCTGCAGGGTGGCTGGAGACGGTTCCAGCCCTTTGTGGGGTTCACACCTGGGACTGAACTGGCAGCGCACAGGCTGCCAATGGCCAGGGGAAGAGGAGCAGGAAGATAATAAACTAATTTAATTTCCAGATTGTCAATTTCTAAGTGAAAAGAGCAGTAAAGAGGGATGTAAAAAAAGGGAGGTGATGTGAGGGATACTGGCGGAATGTTTCACATGGACTTGTGGCATACTGTGGGGATTAGTGGTCAGCTAGCGGCTATGCACTGCCCCCCCATCGGTGTGTGCAGATGGGGGAGCGGAGGAGGTCAGAGCTTCACCCAGGTTTTGTGGATAGATGGATGGGGACTGAGAGGTGAAATGACCTCCTGTTGGTGACCTGATGGACTAGGATGGGGCTGAGATCCCTGTCCCAGGCTCTGACTGCTGCCTTGGTTGTAGAACAGGCAGCGTGTGTTGGGCAAGCGGAAGGGTCTATGACTAACCCCAGTTTTGCATTTTGACCATCACTGTTCTCCTTTTTTGTTTCTGGTCATGAACAGCTTTTGAAATTGGAGCGTAAGGTCAGTTATAAGACCTGAAGATATGCCTATACTTTGATCACAGGCTGCTGAGTGATATTTGAACTAGGCTTGAATTAGCGGGGTAGCGTCTGTACGTGACCTAGCGGGGGTAACGTGGAGCAAGGCACGGGTGGATTTAAAAACAAATCAGCCTGCGCTGAGCCATGTGCTAACTTTGTTCTGTTTTCGCAGCCTGTTTTGTGATAGCACTGCAGACATGTCCAAAGAGCTCCACAGTTGCACAGGGGTTGCACACAAAAAGAATTTGCTACCTGCTTGTTTCTGTTTTCCAGCCTTTGCTGTTTTGTAACCGCGTGCTGCTTATCGCGGCGCTGGCTCGGCGCGTGGTTCCTCAGTACGGGGATGGGAGCGGGGAGGGCATGGTTTCATTTCTGGGTGAAGCTGTTTGATGGTATGACAGCATTCCAGGGATGACATGGGAATGCTTATGGAAGAAGTTTTGTAGGGTGGGAGTCAAATTAATAAAACACTATGAACTGAGCTTCATAGGATCCAAACCTCTAACTTCTTATTTAAAAAACAAGCAGACAGAAAAACCCACCAGCGTTAAACTGTCACCTATCCAAGGCTTTCTTTGCATGTAGGATTTTGCAAGAATAATGTTCCCCCTGGTCATTGTTGCAGGTTTGCTTAGAGCTGTAATAAAAATGGTAATGATTTTATTTTTTTTTACTAATTTTACTCTTTGTGTGTTTTGGTTTTGGGAAGGGATGGAGTTGGGGGGCTCTGTTTTGGAATCTGTATGTTTGGAGCATGAAATCCTTAACTGCTTTTACTAACAGATGAAGGGGCTGATTTGCCGCACTACTGTAATCAGAGTTATCTGCAGAACTATTTTAAATGTTGCTTATTGGCTTGTACAAATAAGGATAGGAGGCCGCTTGTCAGTAGATTTAACTATATGTCAATGAAGAAATATGTTACGTCTTTTCCTATTTTTGTGTAATGCTTTTTGATAAATATTATTTAGTTTTAGTTTGATTTCAAATGTATTGCTGTGTGAAGTGTTTTGTGGTGCTATTACAAAATATCCCTCCTTTGTGCTTTCTTAATCAGAGGAAGAAATTTCCTTAAAAATAAAAATCTGCTTCTGAAAGACAGTAAGTCCGTGTTTACCCAGGCTGAAGGTGACACGTGTAATGTGAAGTACATACACAAGAGTTACCATAAAGCTAGAGGCTCTTTCTTCATATCACCTCTGTCATAGCTCAGATCATAAAGCTTTAGATGCCTTGAGACAAATATATTAACAGTCTCTTTAGAGACATTGCTTATCTTTCAGTCTCCAGCCAAAAAGCAACAGAAATACAGTATTATTTATTTTTCTTATGTTTCACATGTCATGGTTGTTAATCAATATGAGTAAACATGACAGGAGGCAAAATCTCTGACAGGCAAAATTTTGGAAGGCAGTGAGCTAATGTATTATTCTGTGTCATCTCGTTTTAGGAGTATGCCTTTTGCTTGCCTGCAAAAGCAGGGAGAGATTGGAAGAAGGGAGTAAACACAGCAGTAACTACAAAATCAGATCAGAGGTGTTAGTGTCCATTTTACAGAGTCTGAATATGTACACAGTTGGAGGAACCTAGTGGGAAATAAACATTCTTGGCCATAACTGTTATTTGTGTGTTCCCCTCATTTTTAGGCCAAAGATAAGCCCGAGGAGAGTGGTGCAAAGCCTAAGCATGTGCTCAGCAACAGAGGAACCCAAACTGAAAGCAAGAAGCCTCTGGAAGGTATGTATCACTCCAGTCATGCTACAGCTTTGACTCCAGAATGTGAAGCAGACAAACTGGAAATTAATAGCCTGCTATTTCCCACTACCTGAATTACTCAAATGTAACTGAGTAACTTTGTCCACCAGTACTGGGAAAATACCGTTGTTCCCACCTCCTCTGCAAGATGAGCTGTCCCCTGGATCAAACTCCACAACGTGCTAGGAGATCAAGAAACTAAAAGCAGCACCTTTGGCTGCACAGGTTTTTTTTGCTTTGGAATTACACTGAGCTGAATTAAGAGAGCAAGACTTGTTCGGAGATACCACAATGGTAGTGGCAATATCACATAACAAACCTAATAAATTCTTTTCCCTTAACGTATCTGAACCAGCCCTCCCTCCTCCCCCTGCTCTCTGAAAAAGGGACATGTTGACATTGGGAATATCTCTTTTTGATCAGCAAGCTTCACTGCCATGTCAGAGCTAGGTTCCTATTTAGGCTGCATCTGTCAGAGCTTTGCCCTGCTGTATCCACTATTAATGCCTGTGGAGCTGCAGCAGGGGTGAATGTGATGTTGAGCAGGCCCTGTCATGCTCTTGTCTTCACAAATTGTCAGTGAATCCTTTAAATCATGGGCAATCCCCTTTTTAGCTTCATCATTTAGGAATTGACAGGAATAAAGCAGATGGTCACAATTCTGACTCACAGGCTGCACAGGGTTGTGAGCTCGCCTTGGCTGCTAGTGACCTGTGCGTGCTGAGTCCCCAAAGAAGTTACCCTGGACATTTCCACTGTTCATATTCTCAGCCGTTGTCACCAGAAGGGGCTGAAGGAGCTTCTTGTCCTTTTGTGGAAAATGCAAGAGGCACCGTCTCAAGCCCCAGTGTCCCTTGGCATGGTGTGCAGCATGTCTCTGCCCCTCTGGTCGGGCAGAGGGGGTGTGGGGTTCAGGAGCGTCCTGGACGGTCTGCCGTGCCTGAACTGCCACTTACATTTGTACACAGAGTCATTTCCGATTGTAGATGTAGTAAGCTTGAGCCTTGCAGGGTTTTTTTGTTTGCTTTATGGAAATGCAGGTTCAATCTGTAACACTGCTGGAAAGCCAGCAGAGCAGTTAAACCTCTGGTTAAGCCACGGGCACTGGTAATGGCTGTCTCAAGCCTGCTGGTGTAAAGATTTTAAACCTTCCAGGGGGTTTCTTGCTGCCTTTTCAGATGTATGTAACTTCACGGGTTATTTTGAATGGTGGGTTGCTTTATTTTCTCTCTGTTTTGCTGTCGCTTTTTTCAAGGATGGTTTATTAATGGCTTATTTTATTCAGAGACAAAATGTGGGAAAAAGCTGGATGCAAGCAAAGGAGCATGTGAGAAGGTGATTGCTGCTGGAGCTGTAGCCCACAAAGCTGACTCCAAACCCCAAGTTAAAGAGAGGACGGCGCAGCAGCAAGCAGTAGAAGGTGCTGGCAAAACACACAGCTCCAAGAGCTGTCAACAGCAAAAGGACGTTGGTGTCAAAGCTTTGAATCAACACAACGGTCTTCCCTTCGTAAATCAAGATCATGTAGGCAACCAAAATGTTCCTGCTAAAGCACACGATACGGACAGAGCCCCACGCCTAGATGAGTGCCACAAGCAGCTTGTTCATCAGAAACTCGGAGAGAATGAAAACAAACCTCCATTGTCGAGTGTGGCATCCAGGGAAGCTGTGCCCTCCACATCCCGGGCTATATCTGACACAGGGTGTGAAGTGACACATACCAGGTAATGGCCTTGTTGGTGGCTTTCTGTGTGATCTGAAACCATTTCATGTGTTAGAAGGAAAAAAAGGAAGGGCAGGTCAGTAAAGGAGGCAGCTCCTGCTGAGGCATGAGCCAGGGGAAGAACCAGCCATGCGAGGATAGGGGTGGTGGGACCTTACAAAGGGTTAAGGCAAAAACCTGAAAGCAGCAAGGGCCCTGTGTAAATCTCTGTGAAGCCAAGGAGCTGGAGGGCTGGGTGTATGGGAGATTTTTTATATGATTAAGGCTTTTGTGCATTAGAGATAGGAAGGTGACCACCCCAGTATAGCTCAAGTAGTTGGACATTTATAAACCACTCACTCCTTTCCAACTCCTCTGTTTCTATAACCCTGGGGGTGAAAGGAATCTGAGATCTTTACTAATATATGACAAAACCAAACAACTTGTTTCATTTGCTATCCTCCATGGTTTTGTGGGGTTTTTCATGCCTTGGTCACCTCAAGATATGACCAGATTGTTCATTTATTAATCTCTGTTAGCCTCATCTTTTCCTCATAGAGGTGTTTTATAATATGTCTTTCATAATCCATTTCCTTTTGAATTATATATTTAGGATTTGATTTTAATTCAATTTATTTACATGTAAAAAAACCCCACACAACATAAAACAACAAATGCCCACAACCAAAAAAAACCCTACCCACCAAACCCCAACAGATGGACATTCTGTGGCAAATTCTAGCTGCCATGCCTTCTCTGTCTGGGCTGGTGGATATAAAGTTGTTTATGTATGTGTGTATGTATGGGCGATAGACACACACACATACATATATATGTATGTTACTCTGTGTGTGGGATTTCCCCGTTGTTCATGTGTACAAATTGGTGTCTAAAACCTGGACAAGAACATGACGCTTCTGTTGTGTATGTGTACTCTGGTTTGAAAACTTTGAATTTGTAGCGGTATTTGTGAATATAGGGTGGACTCTTAAATCTGCATGGGTAATGTAAGTAAGTGTCTGCTGGAATTATGGGACTCTTTAAAAAAAAAAAGTGAATGAACTCTGGATGGGGGTGTGTGTGCCCTGAAGACTTTCGTTTGGGGAGGAGGGAGGCTGCCAGGTCACTGGAAGGCAGAGACCAGAGTAAACCCCAGGGGAAGCTGCAGCCTTTACCTGTTACGCTTTTGGGTGGGAAGTCACATGAGGGTGGTGAATGCATCTCTAAAATGAATGCAATTTAGGATGAAGTCTGTAAGCCCACACAGAAGTGTCAAAAGAACATTGTGTTCCCCTGCTTGGAGAAACGCCCAAGAGTCCTGCCCAGCTCAGGCTGTCTAGATAGCAGTGGGAGTGTTTGCTCAGAGCTGTGCTCAGCTGCCCTGTCCCTCCAGTGCGGCTGAGATTCACAGCACAACGCAGGGGTGGTAAAGGTGCTGAAAATGGTAAGGTCACTCCGCTGAAAGAGGCAATAACTTTTGAGAAAATGGAGTACATTCTCTCGTAGACGTCAGGAATTTTCTTTATGTGCTGTTGTATAAAATCTACTTTACAACTTCCCAAGTTGCAGTTCAGCCTTACTGAAATTGGGCTCTGTGCTCATGACAGTTGGAGCAGTAACAGTTGACTCAAAAATCATCATATTAATGTCTTTGATGGATTTTAGGAGCATAGAGAAATGGTTTTAACCCCTATTCTTTTTAGGCAACACAAGAAGAAGAAAAAAAAAATATTAAACTTTTCCAGTAGCTAGAATGCCATACGGAGTGAGAAAGTTTATGAAAGTTACAGTTTTAAAAGAAAGCTGTGGAAAGAATGCTGTCCCATCAGAAGACACACACAGATGTTGGAGTGTGCAAGTCAGCCAGCTGGAAGAGGGGTGGGATGGATGCAAACCTTTGGATTCGTAGAACCATGTGAGCAGTCAGACATGTAGATAATCAGGCAGTGATTTGTGAAGGCAGTCACTAACCCCTCTCTGTCCAGATGGGTGGTATTTATTAGACCAACTGTAATAGTTGCAAAAAGTAAGTAAGCTTTAAAATGTGGGATTATCACTTTGCAGTGTGAGACATTGTATTCAGCAGAAGGCAGGCATATGCACAGAAAAAGCATCAGTGTGTTTTTTGGTGCTCTTCCCTTAGTGCTGTGAGTATTTCCTCAGAGGATTGATATGGTTAGATTTCTTCAATACTGTAGAAATCTGTGGTTTCAGAAGTTTATAATTTTTTCTTCCCACACAAAGTTACAAAAGCAAGGCAAGCCGTCTGCATAAAATGTCAACTGTTTGCTCTGCAGGATATCCATCAATGTACATATGACTGAAATGAAAGAAAACATTGAGATGACCAAGGAAGGAAACTTAGGTGATGACAGCGGTAAAAGTCGCAAATTAAAATCTCCATCCTCCACCCCAGCAGAAGTGGAAGGAGTCAAACAGCTGCATGACAAACTAAAACTTCAACAGAGTCCTAAAAACGTCAGCACTGAGCCAAGCCAAGAAGTGAAAGGGGACGATAAGCAAAATGAACTTGCACCTCAAACAAGGAAGCAACAGCCATTGCTGAGCAAGCCCAAACCAGGCAAAAAGGCTGAAGAGAAATTGGATTTAAAATGCAAGGCTGTGACCTCACAGAATACCTCTGCAAAGGAGCCTACGAAAGATCCGGGAGTAGAAGTGAAAATCCATCAAGAAACAGCAAAAGCAGAAGAATCCCTGAGGGATGCCAGTTCTGAGAGGAGAGAATCTGAGTCTGCATCTTCAGGGGGAGGTGAAAATGATGCCTGTCAGTGTGCAGGAACGGCACCAGAGGAGGCCAGGTCATTGGAATCTAGCAAAGAGCTTCCCGTGGAGGATGAAATGATCATTGGTAAGTTGCTTGCGGTTACTCTTGGAAACTTTTACACTGAGATTTTTGTGCTACCTGTGTGTGTTATATACAATATACACAATATAAATATAATATATACAATAATATTTGGAACAGTGCTCAGTCGACTAATGTCTTGCAGTTCAAGAGCGTTTACCTAAATGCCATGGGTGCCTTTTACTATATAAATAACAAGTGAGTTAACATTCGTACAAATTCTTTTAATAGTAATTTTTGGGAAAAAAAGTTCCTTTAAAATAAAATGGGGCGAAGCATGAGTAATTTTGAAAAAAATCCATTTTTGTTAGATTAAGCATTTGTTCCTTAAGGTAGAGTATGCAAACCGGGTATGCTTTAGCAGCTGTGGACTGGAGGTGCAGGGAGCAGCGAAATATTGCAGGAGGAGTATCTTGCTGTGGTCCCTGTTGTGGTGTTGGCCATAGATCTCTTCTTGGTTACCATGTGAACAGCGGATTGCATCATTTCAGGGAGCAATCTCTCCTGGCAGCACAGATATTTGTATGTCCCAGAAAGTACGTACACGGGCAGATGTCCTGACCTGGATCTGGCTTTCTCAGCAGTGGCTGGAGATGAGTTGAATGTGTGTTAAATTGCAGCCTAGGATATCTGGAGATTAATTGTAAAATTGGTTTGCGTGGGGGACAGCAAAAGTGGGTTTATGGAAGCATTACCTTAGAAAAACTTGGATGTTAAGTGTATCATGGTTAACTGTTGTAGCTTCTCAGGAACTGATTGAGCTTAATAGTTGTAATGTTAATGTTTGCAGCTTTAACTTGGACGTTATCTGCAAAAGTCTTGCTGCTAGGAGAAATTCCTGATTTTACCAGTAACTGTCATCGTTTATCAGTGCTGTATATTTGTGCTGGTCTTTTCAGCTGCCAAATAATGATTGAAAGAAGATCCAGTGTAATTCCTTCAAACTTCTAGGTATTTTTTTCAGGTGACCTCTTCTGTTAACGCGTAAACTAAGATGTTTTTGCTAAAGGTGTCCAGTGGGTTTACTGTTTTAAAAAAAAACAGGGTTGAGATTTAGGAAGTGGGATCCTGTTCTCAGTTCTGTGCCTTTATTCTTCATCTGTAAAAGGCTGTTAGCAGTAGAAGTCCCTCACTTGAAGTAACAGAGAGATTTTGGGTATTTTCAGCACCTCCCTTCTTACAGCTAGCTGCAAATGCAATGGTGACTTTACTTGCATGCCACTCTAAAAATAGTGAAGGAATTGCGTGCTTAATGCTATCCAGATATTTCAGTGCTTGTCTGAATTCCAGTAGAAGAAAAAATGATAGCGTCTTAGAGGAACATGAAGCAAAGAGAAAAGACGGGAGAAAGGGCAGCACACTTTAATATAAAGTCGTGGTTTGAGCGTTTGCGTGAGCAGCGCACTGGCAGCAGCCGGAGGCCGGCTTGTCCAGGCCTTTGTGTTGGCCCTGGTGCTTCTCCCTCAGAGCCCCACCGCCCCGGGAGCACCAAGGATGTGGTACGGGAGGGGGGAACCACCTGTGTGTCCGTGTTTGTGGTCCTGCCTCTGCGCCAGCAATGTCTGTCTGAGAAACTGGGCTCGTCTCTTGATGAAGGCGGGCTGAGCACAAGGGTATGGTTTTGTGGAGCTGTGGATACTGGGAGCACAGAAGGCAGTTGAGAATTCTCCTTACACTTCACAAACATGAGAAGGTGATGTGCATGTCCTGTGGGTTGACATCGTTGGTGTGAGGGAGGTGGAACTGCGTGCAGTGGTGTGGCAGAAACATCTCAGTGACCAGCTTGTCTCCTCTTTAGATGACAGCCCTTCTCCTCCGGCTCCTTTCGAACACCGCATAGTGAGTGTCAAGCAAACAGAGCTGACAATGTGCTACTCGGTGTGTCATCACGAGGTGCTGGGGGGGTGAGTATCCCTGGCCCTGATGCTGTACTGCGGGTGGTGGCTAAGGCATGGAGAAATGCAGCTGGCTGGAGAGCTAGAGTTATCGTTTTCAGATGGCTCCAAGGTGTGCGTGGGTGAGGCATGTACCAGCCCATTGCAGGCAGTGTGAGCAGGCTCATCCGTCAGACCTTTTGGGCTATCATAGTTGCTGGGCTCTTTGTATCAACCTTCTGTTGATTTGGTGATGTGTGGGGGGGCTGTCCCTTAGATGGACGGTTTCTGCGCCAGTTCCATTTTCAGACGCCTGACTGTGATCTCGGATGACTGTTTTTTGCATTTGTTATCATAATCCTGGCCACAGCTGGTGCCATGAGAAAAACCTGTAACCTTCAGGCAGGCAGATCCAGAGCATTTGAAGTCAGCAAAGCCCGTTAGGTCAGGTGGCTTCCAAAATCTTTTTTCCGTGCTGGACTGCACGTTAAAGAAAACTAAGGGAGAAGTTATAATTATTTTGACCTTACATTTAGTTTTTCACTCACAGGAAGTCTGCAGCTGCTTTAGCTTTTGTATTCTCATATCCCTACTCATCTGACAAGAAGGTTTGATTTACAGTTTGATCCAAGTACAAATATGGCTTAATAAGTATAAGCCTGATGATGCAAGAGCAGAGAAGATGGTGTTTAGAAATCATCCCCAGGGGCATTAATGTCTCTGGGTGACATGGGGGAGAATTTACAGCACACGAGAAATGCAGTCTGTGGAGTGGCTACAGTTACTGGTCTTATAGTCACTTAAAAAGTTATGAGATCAGGACAGAAATATCCTTGTTAATATACCCACGAACGCATCACTGAAGGACAGCAAGCGGGTACAGTTACAGAACTGAAAAAGAATATCATCAGGTCGTCATACCGCAGTGAAATGTAGTAATATGAAGGGGGCATAATATTTTAATGTAAGCATTGGACAGCTGGCTGGAAAGATAAAACTAATCCTTCATAAGCTGAGAGAAAGAGGAGATTCATGCTGCTGGCCACCTGATTCTGTTCACTTTGTACTGTGCTATTTTTAATCAACGGTAAGAATAGTTGTATGAAAAGTCTCCGTGGTGAGCTGTGCTGAGCCCGTTTCCCATCTTTTCCTTGGTATCAACAGGGGGCGTTTTGGGCAAGTTCACAAGTGCACAGAAATATCGACTGGTCTCAACCTGGCAGCCAAGATCATAAAAGTGAAAGGAGCAAAAGAGAAGGTAGCTGTGTTGCTGTGAACCCACGTGAGCAGGCGCTGAGCCTGGCCCTATTGCGAGCACCTTAACGCCACCGCCCTGAATCAGCCCACAAGAGGCACCTTGTCATTGAGTGGTATCAAATATTGTAAAATCTGTCACAGCTTGGTCTTTGCATGAATGTTTGTCATCTCCCACATTTGTGATTAAACCTTCTGTCCACATGAGACCTGTGGTGTAGCTGTTATCTACGAACAATTGCATTTGAATATGTTGGAATTTAAGGAGCACATTTTGCTCATTTTTTGTTAATTTGTTATTTTTCAGGAGGAAGTAAAAAATGAAATTAACGTCATGAACCAATTAAATCATGTGAATCTGATCCAGCTTTATGATGCTTTTGAAGCCAAAAATAATATCACTCTGATCATGGAATAGTAAGTTTAAATGATTTCAGGAATTGTCAGATGTTTGGGATTTCTCAGGTGACTAAAGGAAATTGGGAATGATAATTCTGAGGGGTGAAGAAGACTTGGGTGGTTTCCCAGCCTAAGAGAGAGTTGATTTCACTTTTGGAGGGGAAAAAAAAGTTTTAAAGGTAATTTCTTCAGGTTAAAATTTACATATTTGGGAAGATTACAGTTTAAACAAATGGCATCCCCCAAAAATGTTAGTGACAACTTTTCCATTTTTGTTTTTAGATTGATACTTAATTTCACACTCAGAAATAAGTTTTTTGAAGTCATTGAGATTATTGACATGCTTTATACTGGATGTGTTGTTACGACCATTGCCTAAGTCCCCAGCTTGGAAATAAATAGAGCTAATGGGGAATTTTAGGATTTTTAACACTTTTCTACGTCAAAATTTTAGTCTTGATGGTGGTGAATTATTTGACCGGATCACAGATGAAAACTACAGTCTAACGGAGCTGGATGCAATCCTATTTACCAAACAGATCTGTGAAGGAGTCCACTACTTGCACCAGCACTATATACTCCATTTAGATCTGAAGGTCAGTAGTTCATACTCTCCTCTCTTTAGTGATGCTGTGGTTTGTACCACCAGAGAGTCTCTAATGACAAGAGTAATTTCTCATTTTATGGATTTATGCCATAAAGGAATAGACTTAATTCAATAGTCACAATGAATGGAGCTCCAGAGATGCATTACTTTTTTTTCCATGTCTATTCGGTAGCTTGCTTGGAATAGTGAAACGAGCAGGGTTCTGTGCTTTTGCCTGTCTTAAATCAGAAGCTTTTCATTCTGTGTGGAATTAAACAGTGCCTTGTCGTTAATAAGAAACCCCACCCAACCCCCTCTTTGGTTAGAAGTGCCTCCAGTCTTCCCCCCACACCCCCTGCCCCCCGCCTTCTAACTGGGGTCAAATACCTCTTCAGTCGTCTTCCTATCGTTTGTACTTTTTTCTGCCTGGAACTGAACTGCAGTAAATTGACCATGTTTTCCTAATAGCCCCTTAATAACTGATCTTTTTCAACAGAAAAACCAACAGTTTTTTTTCCCCTGATTGTTTATACAGTGCATTACACAAATGATACTAGACCTGGTTGGCCTGTAGACCGTTTGGCAGTTATGATAAATTTGGGCACCATCGTCCCCCCTGTCCCTGCCTTGAAAAATATTATTTTTGCCTTCATGGGCAAACCAAATAATGCATTTGACATGTTTCTTGTTGGTTTTTATGGAGTTACTTTTATACTTAAGGAGTAAATCCAGTGGGTAAGCCTCAACCATCAGACTGACTCTACTGTTTTACACGGGGAGCCTTTCCATTTCAAAATCTGTTTGTTACCTATGGTGAAATACAGGAATACTGTTGTACAGGAACAGAAGTTATATGGGAGGTCCAAACCCAAACCTTTCACTAGCTCAGTATGCCAGTCCAATCCTTCTCTCCCATGATAGGAATAGAAGGAAAAGTATTATAGTAAAAATTATGATTAAAATATCTGAGATTTTTATACTCTTTTGCTAGATCTGTCTCTCAGTTATACATTTAACTCAAAATACCCTCTTTTCTTTTTGCAGCCTGAAAACATCCTATGTGTAAATCACACAGGAAACCAGATTAAAATTATTGATTTTGGATTAGCAAGGAGGTAAGAGTTCACTTATGAATTTATTAAAAACAAACAAACAAACAAAACCCCAAACCAAAAGAAACCCACAACCCTCTGACATATTTTTGGTAGTTTTTGGGGGGGTTTTAATGTATTTTGATGGCTCCAAAGTAATTCTGCTATGTGAATGAGCTAAGCGGTATGCTGCTGCTGGCATGAGTTTTCTGCTGAGTGCATTATTATCTAATTACTTTTTCCAAATAACGTTTCTGTTGGATAAAGCTGCACTACTGTTCTAATTATCTCAAAATTATTCCCCCTGTAAGCTTTTACTCTGGGGACTCTATGAAGGCTCTCAGAGACTTCTTGACTGCTGGGTTTTACTGTGCAGGTTTAAGTTGTGGAAATTATCTGCTAAACTCTATGTAGAGAAGTTGATTGAAGGGGAGGGGAAAAAAACCCAAATATGTTTGAGCCATCCCATGTGAAAGAAGAAATATGGACTCTTCTCCATTCTTTTACTTTGTTCACACAAGTTTGTTAACGGAAAGCTATGGGAGCATGAGTCAATTCCCTTAGAATAAAAAGGAATGACTCTTCTTAGTATAACAGTAAACCACCAAAATTTCTCTTTCTTGTAAACCCTTTGAGGCTTTTGTTAAGCCAAAATCTGGTACATTCATGCATATATGTACCTCTGTGTGTGTGTATCTGTCCAAGGACTTTTAGAAGTATTTTATGAAAACAGAAATGGATACATTGAGTTTTGTTTTGTTTTGTTTTTTTTTTTAAGTTGGGAGGGTAAAGATGCAAAATTCTGCTAAAGCAGTTTTGAAAACAATATATTCCAGGAAATAGACACATAAAAGCAATGCTCTGATGGTTTGTTCTGTGTATACACAGATGTAACTCCATGTAAAGCCATGCCTTGGTTTTTACAAACGTGAGATGTGTTCCCAGCAGTGATGTCTCTCTCTTTCCTGTAAAGGTACAAACCTCGTGAGAAGCTGAAGGTTAATTTTGGAACTCCAGAGTTCTTGGCTCCTGAAGTGGTGAACTATGACTTTGTTTCCTACCCAACAGACATGTGGAGTGTAGGCGTCATCACGTATATGTTGTGAGTAGCCCTGTGAGGGGCCGTGGCGATGGCACCAGAGGCTCTGCCCGAGCACACCAGTGGGGGTACCCGCAGGGCAGGGATGCAGCCGCCCCTGAGCCCATCTGGCTGTGACTCCTCCTCATTCATTCTGTTAAAAACCCCAGCCTTTAATGTAAAGGCACCTTGCTGTGTGTACAAAGTCTCTAAACAACAAATAATCCTTTTGATAAATATGTAAATGTTTTCTCCCTTCCCACTTTATTTAGCAAGGTAAAATGGGTCAGGTCTTTTTTTCCTGGGAAAAGTTGCCCAAAGCACGTCAGAATTTTCATTTTGATTGTGTTCTTGGGGCTTGAATTAATTTTGAAATTTGCAGTCTGATCATTTTAGTAGCTTGGATTTGGTGTGCATGCGCACAAAGGAATTAATGTAGGGTGTTAGGCCATGGGTCTGAAAAATGTCTTGTCACAAATAGGACTAAAACGCCTCTCTGTCTGGATGGTGGCCACGGACAGCTTGTCTGTCTCTGCCTTCGGGTGAGCTGACTTGGCATCCCAGAATCTCACAGATGCTTTCTGTGAACTGGATACATTGCTGGTTTAAATTCGTGTGTTAGCCAAGAACCAACTGAATGAAGTAATAAACGACTGAAGCAATAAATCTGGGCTTAGAGACTAATTGACAAAAGTATGCCATTGTTCAGAATTCACTTTAATTCAAGCCAAATATGGATACAGGCCTTGATTTTGGAAAGGTTTGTGTCCCCCTGGCTTTCCTAGCTGGGAGAGCACTGAAGGGTCTACCTATAACCCCACTGGATTCATTTCCATGGGGATCTATTAGCAGTGCTCCTGGGCATAGCTGAGTGAACTGCTAGAGAGTAACACCAACGTTATAATGCTTTATTGCTCCGTACTGGTGGCTTGTCCTGGCAGGGATTGAGAAGTGGAACCCGCCCC